TCAATTTGTGCAGTTATTCAGTGTCTGGTAAGTTAATGTTCAAGAGAAAATACTAATTTTTATTAAAATGTTTTATTATTTTATGTTAATGGTGACTCATTTATTTTAGCCCTTTGTATTCAGCATGTCTCTATCGAAATAAAACTACATTTGTTTCTATGAAAATGGAAGCTTTTGTTTTTTTGCGGCCCACATGCACTTAAACCTTGTTTATTTGGCCCGTGTTAGCCTTTGAGTTTGACATGCCTGGTGTAAAGGATGAAGGCACAGGAAGGCAGATTCTCGGTCTCCCCGTGCCTTTGGCCATGAGTGGTTTACACCATTCTCTCTCCTGAGTTTATCCTTTGGCCACACGTAGAGAGAACCATATGCTGCCATCTTACCTACTATTTTTTTTTAATCCTCATTCAAGGATATTTTCCCATTGATTTTTAGAGAGAGGGAAAGACAGAGAGAAATATCAATGTGAGAGAAACACATCGATTGGTTGCTTCCTGCATGAGCCCCGGCCAGGGCCCGTGCCCTTAACCAGAATCGACCCTGGGACCCTTCAGTCCGCAGGCTGATGCTCTATCCACTGAGCCAAACTGGCTAAGTCCCATCCACTTTTAATGTGTACACAGCACTTACTATTCCTTTATTTATTTGTTTAGCTATTTATTGACTAGGAAAGGAGGGCTTTTGTCTGCCTTCTTCATGGCTTTAATTCCAGTTCCTGTAACAGTACCTGGCACGGAGTAGATGCTCTGTAAATGTTTCTGAATAAATGAATGAATAAATACTTTGTGCTACATGTGAGCCCAGCTGTGTTGGATGTGAGATGACCTTTACAAATAAAAACTGGCTAAAAATGCCCTAAGCCCTTTCTTATACATTCTCATCGAATCCTCAGAACGGGATACCGGACTCCAATTTATGGATGTGGAAACCTAGGCTCAGATGGGTTATGAAATTTGTCCAAAGTCACCAAGTGAAGTGGTAGAATGGAGACCGCAACCCAAGTCCATACAAGGTCGGTATCCTTTTCATCATCCAGTTCTGAATCCCCCACCCTGCCCCTTCCTCACTGTGCTGAGATCTACACCAGATCCTGCTGCCTCCATGGCCCCACCCCGGCCCCGACTCACAGCCGTGCTCTCCAGTCGGCCAGCCGGGACCGGCTGCAGAGCCAGGGGCCTCTGGCTGACAACCCCCGACTACAAGAGGTAGCTCTTCAACCTGTCCCTGTGCTGCTAAGGAGTCTTAGGAGTGGCCAGGTGTGGGGCACGGTTACGGTGTTTTGGCCAGGTTCAAGCCTTGGACTAATGAAAGGACAGGGTCCTCTCATTGCCACGTGCAAGTCCCAGCTGGAGGGCAGGGCCCTCCCAGCACAATCATAGCCAACGGCTGTGGTTGTGAGCTTGAACCTACGGTCCGAACACGTAGCCCCACGTGCCTTGTGATAGAGTTCGGGTGCATGTAGTTGAGTGAGGTTGAAACTCACGAGAATGCTGTAAACAACGTGATCACACCCCTACTTTGCCTCGTGGCATCTGCTATAAAATAAAGACACGGCTTGTGGGCGCTGTCGTTGTCTCCTCATCAGGGAGGCAGCGTCCCACCGAGACCCAGCTATTATTCTCTTGTCTGTTTTTCCTTAATCCTTTCACCCCCCCCCCCCCCCCCCCACTTGGGATCACCCTTGGTCTTGCTGGCGTGGCACAGCCAGGGCTGTAGAGATCAGGCAGGCGCCCAGCGAGGGGCCTGGCGGGGGATTAGAGTCAGTCGGCACACCCTGCGTGGCAGACCTGCGGTATTTTCTTTCCCTACCCCCAGGACAATCCTGTGGGGTTAGAATGATTATATAGCCTTGTAGAGAAGAAAGAAAAGCGTCTACAGAGGTTCATGAACTTAGCGACAACAGCGGGCCGAGGTTGGAAGGCAGCTCTGCCTGACGCCACCCCCCCAGGCTGCTAACCGCGGGGAATCCTCGGCTGGGGACCAGCTCGTCTGCTCAGTCCAGCTGGCAGCTGGGCCACCTCAGCTGTTGGGAGTCCCTGTGTCCCTCTGTTGGGACCAGCTGCTTCTGGCTGCCCTCACCTGTCCCCGGAAAGCATGGACTCCAGCCCTGTTAGGAGCCATGGAACTGGACCCCTTGGGCCCTGGCAGGCCAGATGGGATCAAACAATGGGCATCGCAGAGCGGGAAGCCTGGGTGCATCCTGGCACTGCCTCTCATAGCTGTGCAGCCTTGGACAAATTTCCAAACCTCTCTGTGCCTCAGTGTCCAAACCTACAACATGGGGATCCCCACGTGGGTTACTGTGTTCAGGGAGATCACGTGCTCACAGCACTCAGCCCAGGGCCTGGCACCAGAGCTGTTATCACCATGCCCGTTTCCTTCCCCATGCCCGCATGTCCTGGCAGGCAGGTCAGTGGTTTTAGCAGCTTCCTTAAAGACCTGGTTCCTGGAAGACCTGTGTCCGGGGAGCTGCAGCCTTGCTCACCTAGGGACTAAGAGGACACAGTCCGGGGCCTGCCTTCCATGAGTGCCCGGCAGAGAACACTGGCATCTGGGCAGGGCTGCTGTACGCCCCAGCCCTCCTTGGCCCTTGGCGCCTGGAGCCCAGCAGTGCCTCGGAGACCAACCTTCCTCTTTCATTGCCATAGAGACCATCCTCTCCACCTATTACCTTTCCAGCTCCCTGAGCATGTGGCTTTGGGTCAGGTTAGTGGTTCATGTCCCGTACCCCACTGGTCACACTATTCGCCATGATAACCCAAGGGGACAAAAACAGCTCTACTGAGGAATCCAGAGCTGGAGAAACCAAACCAACCCCCATCCATCTACACTGCCCAGTGATGGATGCTACCAGCTGAGAACGTTGGGTTTTATAAGGACTTATGCAAACTGTTCTCTGCAAATGCATTTTGGCCAAATCTGTAATCTGAGTGAGGGATCCTATAATTCTTGGTACATATTTCAGGAGGCAGAAATGGGCAGCAACCCATCCCTGCACACACACCTGACCTAAGGCTGGGTAATATGGTACATGTGAATCTATAAGGGCCTAGGAGCAGTTTTCTAATCTTCGGCTATGCCCTGCTCTTTTCTTGCCCCCTTGACTGGAAAATTCACCCCTGACCGACCGCTAGCTTACATAACGTGTGCTGCGGGAAGTGTTTCCTGACTTCACCGCAATTGCTGAGGGGCGCTGCACCTTCTCAGAGCATGTTGAACTCAGTGTTTCCATGGAGTGTCATGTTTGATTTCCACCTTCCCGACTGGGCTCCTAGAGAGTGGGGGCCATTTTTGTCTTGGGCACAGGTAGCTCCCAGTGCCTGGCTTAGGACTCAGTGCAGTGGATTCTCCTCAAAGAGTTGTTGAAATAAATGAATTAATCTAAGAAATGAATGTGAAATTCTTGTACTTCCTTTGACCTTCAAATGTAATTTAAAAATCACCTCAACGTATTTATTACTTCGATAATAAAAATGCTATTTAAAATAATGAAATGGATAAGAATATACATAAATTTTCCTTAGGAAATGCTAGATGTGATCGGAGTTCTTTAATTTGTCCAAACCATAATTAAAATTCTTACTCATGCTTTCTTATATGCCACATTTCCCCATATTGGTTTCAGTTTTCTATGTGGGATTTAAATTTTAATCAGCTTTCTAGCAAAGATGTGGTCATATCATATACTGAATATGTTCTAAAGCATGAAAATTAAAATGATGTAATATTCAGGATAAGAAATAAATATAAATTAGTGGCACAGACTGGAGTTCCCACGAACTTTAGAGAAGATTTATTCCAAATTAGGGGGAAAGAAAAGATTGTGCAACAAGTGGGGTTCGGCTAACTTAATTGCAATTTAAAAATATCATATTCACATTTAATATCACACCCACCCACACACACACACACACACATCCAGTGTTAAATAGAAAACAATCAGAACAAAGAAAAAAATGTCCAAGTTTTCTGATCTGTTAGAGAAAGTAAGTTTTTCAGCTTTGCAATAGTAAAAGCAATCACAGAGGTAACTAATTGAATTAGACACCAACGAAAAACATCTGAGTCATGAAAACAGCAGTGTTGAATTAGAGATAAATAATAACATGTTAGCCAAAAGGTCTCCCTCTAGTCACACTAAGTTAGTGTGACTGACAAATGCTAATATCTATTGCATCTCCAGAGCTAATCCAAATCCGTAAGAAAATAGCACCATCTCAAAAGATAAGAGGAAACATTTCTAAACAGAACTTCCGAAAACACCACAAAAGAGGCAATAAAGGATTTTATGAGACTCAGGTCACTGGTGACTCAGGTCACTCATATGATGAGTTCTGTCTCCTCATCATGTATTTCAAATAATCCCCAATGAAGAGCTTTTGGTGTTGCAGAAACTCAATCATTCCACTAGAGGGCGCTCTATCCATGCACTAGGCTGAAATCCTGGGTGCGTGGAGGAAGGGCTCCTGGCTTGGAAAACTGAATATAACCTGGAGGCATCTAGGGCTCCGGGTCCATCTGGCTGATTAGATCCTCTGGTCCAGTCTTCCTTTACAATCCTGAGGACATCAGTGGGTCCGAGAAGTGCTACAGGGAGCAGGGAGGGTGCTGTGCCTTCAGCCGTGGAGAGAGATGTCTCTGACCTTATGGCTTGGGTGATTATGGGGCACAGACCTCCAGAGGTGGGATTTCTGGTGAGGGTGACCGTGCCTCCAATACACTCGCCTCACCATCTGTCTCTAAAACAGGGACCGTTGTCTAATCAAACGTTAATTAAAACAGAGTGGCCGGAATAATGAAGGGAACTCATTATGTGAAAAGGAATGTAAATTCTTTAAAATACAATCTCTACTATTTTATTTTTTAAAGAACTAGAATTTCTTTTTAAAAGTTTCAGTAATTCCTCGCATCCAGACTAGACCAGAGGAACTGGGTGGTGGACACTCTGAATTGATTTGCAGGAACCCTGGGCGTTTTCTATTCCGGTGCCAGAGGAACTAGTGACGGATGTGGGTTTCGTTGAGAATTTGTCTTTCCTGTCTCTACCTGCGCTCTGGGCTGTGGGAGCCACAGCTTGATTTATTGAGCTAAACAAGTCAGCAGCTAATTTGTTCATTGGTGGCTGTCCTTGGAGAAGTGGTCCTGTGGATAAAGATGAAGATCATTGAAAAACAAGTCAGCTTCCACGGGCAGGACCTGGCAAAGTAGGTCAGCCTGGCTTTCCGCTGGCCCGAGGGAGGCTGGAATCCCATTAACCTCAATCGAGAGCGGGCTCAGGGAGGGGGGGCAGGGCTGCGTCTGCAAAACAAAACTTGGCTGCGTAGAGGTTTCTAATTTGACTTCCTAATGAGATTTGGAAGGGGGGAGGGGAGCATGGGGTATATGCTGGGGAGTATCAAAGGAAAATAGCTTTCCCTTCACCAGCTGATAGCCCTGAATGGAGAGGGTTTGGGTGTTTGAGAGGTCTGAGTGTTTGCCATCAATTAATTGTTTCACTGGGGGTCTTATCTTAGGACGTCTGAGGGATGGGTGAAGGGTGCCCAAATATTTTTTTTCCAACTTTTCAGAAAGTCTCTCCAATCTTAAAAAGAGAAAGAAAGGAAGAAAGAAAAGCAAAGGAGAAAAATGGTCCATTGATTCTTTCAACCCCTTGGAGCTCCTGCCCAGTCTCTTCTTTCACAGCAAACGTCACTGACTGTCTGTACTCACTGACTCCATAACCTCGTTTCCTGTGCACATTTCACCCTGTTCCAGGCTGTTTACTTCCCCCCACAGAAAGGAGTCCCAATGAGGTCACCGTTGGATCTTCATGTTGATAAATCCAACAGGCATTTTGCAGCTCTAATCTCACTTGATTTCTCATCTACACTGGACACAGGCTGACCACTCTCTCCTCAGGTGCTTTCTTCACGTGGCTTCCCTGACACCAAGCCTCCTTCCCCAGTTTCTTGCCTATTCCTTTCCTGTTTCCTTTGCAGGCGAGTCCTCCTCAGCATTAAATGTTGGAGCTCCTTGGGTCTCGCTCTGAAGTCCTTGACTTAGTTTCAAGCTCTCTCTCATCCATCCATGTTGCTGTCTCCCATTCCTTGTTGACTCTGTGTATAATTCCTCTCCCCTCCCCCCAGGACCTTCAGAGCTTCACAGTTAACTGTGTACGGATCACCTCTAACTGGATATCTTGAAGCCATTTCTGACACATCCCATCCAGAACCGAATTCACGATCTTCCCATTGAACGTCATCTGATGTTCCATATCTTATGAGAGGCCCCACCAACTCATTAATTATGCATCTTGCCCTGTCTGCCTCTCTAATCCTCCTTACCTAACCGATCACCACAGCCTGTCGATCTCTCAGGTCTCTGCGCCTCCCCATCTCCACCACCACCACCCTAGTCAAAGTCACTATTAATTCTCCCTGAACCTCTGCAACCGCCTCCTCACTGGGCTCACCTCATCTACTCTTACCCTTTTCATATTGGAGCCAGAGTGTTGTTATTTTCACCTAAATCTGATCATGTTGTCATTCCGCTCAAAACCCTTCAATGATTTCCCATTACTCATAATGTAAAAATCAAAATCCCTAATGTTGTATGAGTTGGCCCCACACCAAGCTCAGCTTTGATTTCTGGATATAGTTACACCATATACCCTGTTCGTACTTTATGCTCTGCTCCCTCCTCAGGGCTTTTGCACATAATGGTCTCTCAAGACTTTCTAGAATGTTCTCCCCTTGCTTTGCTTCTTTACCTAGTTAACTCCTATTGATTCCTTAACTCTTAGCTCAATTCTCATTTCCTCAAGGAAGATTCCTCTGATCGCCACCCACCCCCCCCACGCCCCAAGCTGGGTTGAGGTTCTAATCACACACTCTGATGGCAGCTTATGTCTTTATTTCACAGACACGTCACATCTGTCATCATTGGTGAATATCTCTCCCCCATTAAACTGTAAACTCCATGAGAAGCTCTGCTTTGCTCACTACTGGATCCCTAAGAACCTTTCACAGTACTTTCCTTTGGAGACCCCCAATAAAATGTTTCCTCCTGCATGCTTCCTGCTGGGGATGGAGCCTGCAACCCGGCATGTGCCCTGACCGGGAATTGAACTGAGACCTCCTGGCGCATGGCATGATGCTCAACTAACTGAGCTACACCTGCCAGGCTCAGTCATCCTTGATAGGACACAGGGTAAGTGAAAGTTAAGACTTTGTTTTTTGTTTGTTTGTATGTTTTTGGTGGGAGTAAGACAATTTGGTGGTCACACTGCTATTTCATGCTGCTCAGAAGTCCAATTGACCTATATGTTTTGGTTGATTAAGAAATGGCTAATGAATGGTTACTTAATTGTAGTGAGAGCGTAGGCACTGGAGTCAGCTGGATACTGTTTGAATTCCAGCTCCTCCACTGATGGAGCTGGATGCTGGGGATGGACCTGTCATACCACCTCCGAGCCTCAGTCCCATCATCTGTAAAGTGAGGGTCATAATCCTTTCGGGGTTTATTATGGGGTTAGTGCAAGGATTATGTGGGATAAGGAAAGTAAGTGCCTCGTAGGGTATCTGGCAAATAGTAGGTGCTCAGGGTAAAAGGATTTCTCTCCGCTTCCTTTCTTCTCTCCCTTCTTTCCTCTTTCCTTCCTGAACCATCTTGCTTTACAGTTTACATCTTTCTAAACCCAGGCTCCTTAAGGGAAAATGATGTAAGGTTTCCTAACTGGGGTAATTTGTCATCCACAAACTCTGTGGCCCAGATGTCCCCAGCCCCTTCCTGGCTTTGAGCCCCTGCCTGTTCAGAGAACCAGAGGTGAGGAACTCTTTGCATCTAGGTTCTGGGAGCCTGGGAGCTGGGGGAAGCTGAGGAGAGAGCCTGAGCAAACAGGATTCAGAGTGGCCATGTTTTCTGATTGATGTGAATTATGCAAAGAGGGCTGAGGGCTTTTGTGAATTCACATCAGTGTTGTTTGGTGGGATAGCGTGAGACAGGCAAATGCCCGCCAACTAGTCGAGAGCACAGGGCAGCAGGCACTGCTGCTATTGCTTCTTCTTCTTCTTCTTTTTTTTTTAATATAGTTCTTTATTGATTTCAGAGAGGAAGGGAGAAAGAGAGAGAGATAGAAACATCAATGATGAGAGAGAATCATTGATCGGCTGCTTCCTGCACACCCCCTGCTGGGGATCGAGCCCACAACCCAGGCATGTGCCCTAGGCCGGAATCGAACCTGGGACCCTTCAGTCCGCAGGCAGACGCTCTATCCACTGAGCCAAGCTGGCTAGGGCTTGTTATTGCTTCTTGACGGAAAGGCACTTCCAAGCCTGGGCAGGTTTTCAACTACAGGCGACCCTTGAATAACAAGTGCCCGGGTCCACTTAACAGGGTGGGGCAAAGTAGGTTTACTGTTGTTCCTATGGAAAATAACACAATAGTCAATAATAATACAGGAATAAGCTTAGTTTTTCATGTACTCACAACCATAAGCCTACTTTTACCCTATATATGGGGAATTTTTTTCAATAAATACATACAGTCCTATAGGACATATATTTTCTCTTCTTGATGATTTTCTTAATAACATTTTTCCTTTTTCTAACTGACTTTATTGTAAGAATACGGTGTACAATAAATAAAGCATGTAACTATGTGGCAATTGACTGTTATGTTAACGGTAAGGCTTCTGGTCAACAGAAGGCTATTAGTAGGTAAGTTTTGGGGGAGTCAAAAGTTATATGTAGACTATCAGCTGTGTGAGGGTTGGCACTCCTCACCCCTGTTGTTTAAGGGCTAGCTTACTCTGGTGTCAGCTTCCTGAGAGGCGATCCAGAGCAAGGCTTGGAGGTCACAGCAAGCTAGAAGAAGCCTCCATGCATCCAGCTGGGCTGCCCTTGGTCAGCTGTCTTCAGGCCTCCACTCAGGGCCTCAGTCCCACCAACTGGGGCCACTCCAGGGCTAGGAGCAGCCTTCCAGACTCAGCCCCTTGGCGCCTCCGGCACAAAGACTTCATGACCTCTCTCTGACCTGGGCTGGTGTGGGCTCCTTCTCCGGGTTCCTAGGGACACCCGTATCCTCACCATGACACTTATCCCCTGGAGCGCACAAGGCTACTACAGTGCCATAGTATTCATATTCTGTGCATATGAGGCCACTTGGACTTGCGCAGAGCAGACCTGGAGTGGTAGAACTCTGTGTATTGTCTGTTTCCCTCTTGGCTGGCCATTCCAAAGGGCGGGGACTGTGTATAGGGCTGGCGCATAGTAGGGGATGAGCCATTAGTTTCCTGAATGGTTAAACAGGTGGGCACCAGGCGCCTGGCAACAGTTTCCCTGCCACCAGCTGGTCATGTGTGAGTGCTCCTCCTCCCTCTGCTCCTGCTGGAGTCTTTCTTGTACTTCCTTTCCTACCATTTTGTGTTTGCCTTTTCTCCCACTGAGTATCTCACACATCCCCCATGTTGTTGCCATCTTCATCAATGTCATCGTTAGTGGAAGCAGACTGCTCCACAGAGGGGCTAGCCAAGCCATTCTCATAAACCATTTTCTGGTGCTTGACTGGGAACTTTGTCTGCTCCAGACTTTGTACCCATAAAGGATAAGTGATATCAAGCCTTGTTCAAAGAATTTCATGGGATTCAGGGTGGCCGCAGTGAGGTGCAGAGTAGGGAGCAGTAAGACATGAGCCCCCCCCCAAAAGGAGGCAGGGGCTGAAGCATGTGATGCTCTCTGTGTCCTCTCAGGTGAACTGAGGAGCGCAGACTTGATCCTGGAAGTCACGGAGGGATTCTGAGTCAGGGAATCAGACTTGAATTCTTAAAGATCACTCTGGTCACAGTGTGGATGAGGGATCTGATGGGGGAGCCGTAGAAGAGGGGAGAATTGGAGTAGACCAAGTGAGAAACTAATGGTGGGAGAATGGCCAGGTGAGGACTGATTTGTGAGCTACTCAGAAGGCAGCACCAGTAGGAATCACTGATGGGTTCTATTTTGTTTTTTGTAAAAAATATTTTTATTGATTTCAGAGAGGAAGGGAGAGGGAGAGAGAGATAGAAACATCACTGATGAGAGTGTATCCTTGATCAGCTGCCTCCTGCACGCCCCCAACTAGGGATTGAGCCCGCAATGCAGGCATGTGCCCTGACCAGGAATCAAACCATGACCTCTTGATTCATAGGTCGATGCTGGACCACTGAGCCACACCAGCCAGGCTCAATTTTGGATATGATGAATTCAAGGTCCATGTGGGCCATCCACAGAGAGGTGTCCAAGAAATTGATGGATGGATTTAGCTTCCTACCTACATACCTGCCTGGGGGAGTTGTAGTTTTGGGAGCCATCAGCATACCGATAGTCACCAAATGCATGGGAGAATGAAATCTCCAAGAGATAGAATAGACAGAAAAGATGGAGACTGAGAGTGGAACCTGGGGTAAACCTGGCTTCCCATGAGACAGATTTGCTTAGAGTGAGCACACGTATTTGTGGCTGAGAACATAAGTGAATGCCTACTGGTTAACCCTTATTCTGAGTTGATTCCTCTGCAGTATTTGAGCCATTGGAGGAAACAGAGGCCAAGCCTGCATTCCTGAGAAGATAGGGGCACCTGTGATACTGCACCTCACCTGTCTGTCCATCTAAGAGGTGTTGCTGACTTTAATGACCCAATTGGCATGGGGTGGCCGTTAGGTGGGTGGCTCTGAGGACAAGGCCTGGACAGGGGCAGGGCAGAGCCAGGGTCTGTCTGTTACTTACACGTTGAGAGGCTGCCAGGCTGGCCACTGAGCTTTGGCTTTGATGACGGTGAGGACCTCATCGCTCTGCAAAAAACAAACCACAGACACTTAGTGAGGAGAGCCGGGCTCATGGGAACAAAAGGGCTTTGACATGATCATACTGTCTACCGCCCCTCACTTACCTGCTATTGAGGCTCTACCTGCCCAGGTGTGGGAGCCATCCAGCCCCAGGGTGGGCAAGCCCTGGAGCCCCGGTAATCCCAGGAGGTGGGGCTGAGTGTCCAGTGTGCCTGGTGCGTCCTGGGCACCAATGGGTCCACTGAGCCACACCTTTGGTTTGCAGCTCAGCCCATCTCTTCCCCCCGGGAGCCAGGCTCTGACCTGGACTCCTCCTTGGATGGCCAGACTTCCATATTGTGTCTAGCCTGGAGGGAAGACTGTGTGCTCTGCCCAGATACTGACTGGGGCCTGGACTGTAGCAGGAGCTGCAATGCAGCCAACAACTGGCCCCAACAATTGCCACACCCAAGGCCTTCCCTGCTGTTGAGACTCAGGCATCAGATTAAACTCCTTGGGTTGAGGAGGCCAGAATAAAACTGAGGGGCCCACACCCCTGTGCCACTCATGATATTATGCTCCATTTTGCTTTGGACAGTGTGTAGAGCACCTTTAATGTCTAAGGACCTAAAATATTTTTTGAGGAAGAACCTAACGGTTAACATTTTGAAGGCAAGCATTAAGTCATCATGGGGGGTGGGAGGGTCGGGGGAAGGATCAGAACTTTGCTCATCTTGCTAAACTCTGAGATTTGTTTGGGTTTCTATTTTCAATTACACACTGGGAGTGAGGGGGTATCACACTCTTTTCAAGGCTTAATACTGCCATAGTCCAAATTTGGCTTTGGCTGGGGATGTTCCCCAGAGTGGATTCAGCTGGTTCTGGATCTACCTCCCCTTCCTCTGGCCTGGGCTCAGCAGTGTTCAGACACCACTGCCCATTACACACCAAAAAGCCCAGGATGTCACCAGCTGGGGAAGCAAGAGTTTTGTTGTTGACTGAACAGGTCCCTGAGCTCCAGGGGGCAGAGACTTGCTTGGTTGGCTCACAGTTCTGCCCCAGTTGTTTTTTTAAAAAATATTTTTTTATTGATTTCAGAGAGGAAAGAAGAGGGAGATAGAAACAGCAATGATGAGAGGGAATCGTTGATTGGCTGCCTCCTGAACACCCCCTACTGGGGATTGAGCCTACAACCTGGGCATGTACCCTGACTGGGAGTCAAACCATGATCTCCTGGTTCATAGGTTGGCACTCAACTGCTGAGCCACACCAGCTGGGCTGCCCCAGTTCTTAGAGCCATGCCTGGCTGTGGGTGCCTAGAACATATTTGGAATGAGTTGGTGGATTTCTTCTTAGTTCGGTACCTTGCCCAGAAAATCCCACTGCCCTGAGGAAATTGGGAAGGGGTCAGAGGTATCTCCAGGATCAGGCCCAAAGATTAGAAAAAGCCTTTGATCTGGACGCCTTGCCTGGAGCCCAGGAAGGAGTGGGTGGGTGGTGGGCCCATGAGAAGAAGGAGATCAGCCAGATCCAGGTTGGCCTGGGCACTACAGGGACAAGCCACAGAGGCACCCCATCCACTGCCACCCCGGGGAACCTTGCAGCCTCTTCCTGAGCCCAGGCCTGGGGTTCCCTCTTTTAATCAGAGGAAAGATTCACTGGGTACACAAACACCCCACATTCACACATCTTCAGGGAGAGTGTGTCTAAGTCCTGAGAGGTTTACACTTCTCATGAGAGACACTCTTATTTGTTGAGAATGTCTCCCTGACTCATTCCTAATAAATATCTGTTGAATAACTGAGAGAAGCTGCTTATCATGAAGTCACTTGTGAGACCTAACTTATCTTCCGAATGCCAGCGCTGGGTCTCCCATGACCTGGTTTTCCTATGGTCATCTCATATATTCCACGTCCCACACTGAACTCTTCATCTGACCCCAGAGCCCTGCTCCTCCTCCAGCTGGTGCCATCTGGGCTAAAGGCACATCCACCCGCTGCCTGAACCAGACACCAGGCATCGCCATCATTCCTCCATCTCCCACCCCTTCACAGCGGTCAGGCCCCAAGACCCACTGTGTTCACCGCCTGTGAACCCCTCCACAGTCTCCTCACTGGTCTCTTAGTCTCCTGTATCTTCTTGCTTTCCCCCAACCCACCCTCCCCCAACCTATCCATTCCTTGCCTAAACCCTTCAGCAGCTCCCCACAATGTCCAAGATAATTTTTAAATTCCTGGTATACTTCTTTTGATTTTCTTTCAAATATATTTTTATTGATTTCAGAGAGGAAGGGAGAGGGAGAGAGAGATAGAAACATCAATGATGAGAGAGAATCATTGATCGGCTGCCTCCTGCATGTCTCCTACTGGGGATCGAGCCTGCAACCCAAGCAAGTGTCCTTGACCGGAATCAAACCCGGGACCTTTCAGTCTGCAGGCCGATGCTCTATCCACTGAGCCAAACTGGCTAGGGCCTTTTTAGATTTTTAATTCCAGAGTAATCCATGCTTATTGTAGACAAAATTAGCACCACAGAAGCACACAATGTAAATGTTGAGCTCTTTCCACTTTAGCATCTACCCTGCCTTCTGCCTCCTTCTCCAGAATGTTACAGTTTGGGGTGTATCATTCCAGGCCTTCTACTACGCATATGCAACTGTGTGTGTGTGTGTGTGTGTGTGTGTGTGTGTGTGTGCATATATTAGATACAGCTTTCATACTGAATATTTTATTCTGCACCATGATTTTTATATTTTCCCTTACTATTACATCATGGGAATCTTTCATTGTTAGTAACTACAGCATCGTAGCTCTCCTTTTGTTGATTTTTAAGACATTGAAGATCTTCAAATTATGATAAGCTTGGTCAAGACTAATAAAAAAGAAATCCAGGAGACAAGATACTGTCTGATGATGATCATTTTGCCCTCGAAAAAAATGCTTTACTAAAAAGAAAAAAATAAATCAGTGTGCGGGAAGTTCCGATGGCTTTGCATTGCAATTCAATCTTGGTTTTCAAGTCCGAACTAATGACATATTGATTTTGTTTTTTGCAGAATAACTCAACAAAAATTGTTTGGACCCATCATTAGTGTTTATTTATGGTGATGAAATTCTGTCTAGTTTTCAGAGCTATGGGGGCCCGGAGGATGGTGGGTCCGCGCGTGTGGGCATTAGAACAGCTTGCTGCTGGAATTTGTTTCATCTGGTGGTTCCACACCATCTGCAGGATCAACTGCTTATTGTTCCTTGTTTGCGATCATTCGTGTCATCCAATGAAACAAGAACGCACGAGCCTTCTGCAACATTCATTTTAAAAGCGAAATATTTTTGTTGCTGCATCAAAATTCTCCGGCAGAACCGAAGTCCTACGGGATTGGAGAGTGCCTGGCGTGTTCATGGCCATATCTAAATGCGATGGACGGGTTTTTTAACCAACACTATTGGCAGATATTTAATTGTTGCCATAAATGATACTATGATGAACATTTGGGCATGTATTTCTGTCTTTGCAAACCCGAGGGTTCCTGTGTCATAGATTCCCAGGAATGATTAAAAGATGAAGCACATTGAAAATTTTGGCAGAATCTACCAATTTGTCCTCAAATGCCTGTACTATTTTATACTCCAGCAAGAATGTGTATGTGCCCATGTCATCACACCCTTGGACACACTGGATACACTGGATCATTCTCATTAGTATTGACTCATCCAGAAGGCAGGCATGTAGTATGGCTGGGAGCCCAAGCTCAGGAGTCGTACCTGAGTTCAAATCCTGATTTCACCATTTACTAGTTCCATGTCCTTTGGCAAGTCTCTTGACCTCTCAGTTTTCTCACCTGTGAAATGGGGTTAACAAGAGTATCTATGGCATTGGATTGTTAGGGGGATTAAATAACACCATTCAGAAAGTGTGCTAATACAGTGCCTCTATCAGCACAAATATTAGCTGCTGTTCTCATTCTTATTTACATTCTGGCCAAGCTGGTATTAGAATCGATTTGCACTGCCTGAGTACAGAAAGTGGGGTGCACAGTTGCATCTACAAACCGACAGAGCCCCAGGAGAACGCAGAAACCCAGGGAGCAAATGACGAGACGTTTCCATAACTCGGTGAGCCCTGGATGGGGCCACTTGGGCACTAGGCGTTTTACATTTTAAAGAATGGAGGATTTAACATTCAGAGCAAGCCATCCAAACTTCAGATGTAAATGAAAAGCCATTTTCACAAGTCTCTAAGGCACAGAAAGGACCTTTCAACGATCCTTAGAGCCCTCACACATGTCTCCTAGGACCCCTTTCAAACAAAGTGTTTCAAGGCATTCACAGTTCATGCCTCATTTGCATGATGTTAGCAGTTTTCCAGAGATACGCCCATTAAAATTAAAAACCCCCCAAAAAACTACAGGTCACTCGTGTCCATCTTCACAGGGACAAGTGCTTTCATTTTGCTTTTGATAAACATATTGGGAAGATGTGACAGCCGTACTCAGACTTCTTAGTTACTGGGACCAAGTGGGAATAGCACGGCCCCCACAAAGGCCAGGGGCTGAGGTCAGATCCAGAGGAGGAAGGGTTCATGTGGAGCGAAGACAGGCTTGGGCCTGGTTGGAGGCAGAAATCACATTGGTATCAGGAGATGCCAAAACTGAGCAGAGCAGACAGCAAGAATGTGAATTAGAGGGGGTCAGGGCTGGGGCTGGCGTTTGAACCAACCTTACCCCACACGGACCCTCCCATGCCCTCACTGCCTTGCTCCTCACCGTCTCCTCTGCAGGCATTTTCCTGGGTCCTGCCCTTCTGCCTTCATCTTCTAGTCCTGAACCACACCTGTTCCTCATCCTAAGGCCCCTTGGCTCCGGGAGGCCCTGAGGGCTCTCCCACCATCGCAGGTCCTGCCCCACACCTGCAGTCTGAGCCACCCATCCACGCTGCCTCCTCCCCTCCAGGAAGAGAAATGGACGCTATCCATAATGAGACAGGGAAAGCAACTGAAACAGGGAGAAACAACAATAACAGTGATCTATTGTTTTTCTGTGCTAGGCCCCTTGCTAATTACCTTCACATAGTATCTTATTTAATCTTTACTACACATTTCAAGGTAGGCATAGACTTTTTAATGTTCAGAAAAGCATTTATTTGGCCAAATTAGTTACACAGTCAATGGCAGAGTTTAAACCTCAGCCTGGGTTCCCAGGGAGACCACACCCATGGCCCTGGGAACCCCAGCAGAGGGCAGCTAGGAGTGGGGAAGCTTCGGTGCAGGGGTCCCGGTGAAAGGTCAGGCCCAGCGCTGGCCCATGCCTCTGCGCCTGTGGGAGCATATCTGAGAGCTGAACATTGCAGCCACACTCGGAGGATTGTCAGTGTTCACAAAACCGTCAACGTTAGTGCTGCCCAGGTTTTGAAGAAGTTGCGGGGTAGCACAGGGGCCTTGAGTTGGGGAGAAACTGTTGGCTACCAAATACCAAAGACGGGGAAATCCAATGACACGAAATGCACAGTGATACCTGTGCATGCGCACAGACAGCCCTGCCCCCTCGTGTGTCTTTGTGCAGTCATCAGCTTGTTTCGTATGAAAACCTTTGGGGAATAGCTATGATCCCATTTTGCAGATGAGGAAACTGAGGTTCAGAGAAGTCACATGACTTGCTGAAAATCACCAGGAATCATGATTCCAATACAGAAGTGTCTGACTCCAAAACTCATGCTCTTCCCGCCTCCCCTGACTATTCTTCCTCTCTATCTCCCTCTCATTCCTCTCCCATTTTGCTTGTTTTGTATGTGTGTGTGTGTGTGTGTGTGTGTGTGTGTGTGTGTTTTTCCCCAGCAAGAGTGTGGCTGCCCCTGGCTGACAGTTTTTCTCCCAGGAGGCGCAGGGTCACCAGGTTTCCTCTGGGAGGGTAGCGTTCATCATTCTGTGTTAAGACCCGAATAAGCAGTGTTTGGCCTCATTTTTTTTTTGCTTCTACTCTTTCCCAGAATCCCCACTTACCACCCATAACATTTATTCTGATGGCTTCCACCTCTGAAGGGAAGTGGAAAGTCATCCCTCTGTGAGTGTCCTGGGGATGAGCAGCAGGAAATGAGCCATTTCATGAGGTGATAATGGAGCTATAAGCATCTTTAAAGTCAATTGTGCCCAACGGTCCCTCCCATCATTTCAACAGCCTCTGGGTTTATGGGGTCATAAATAAAAACAGACACCTCATGTTTCTTGGTGCTTTATAGTTTGCCCCTGGTCTCATTTGTTTCCACTGTCATCCTCTGAGATAAGCAGGCAAATGGTCCCATTTCTCAGATGAAGTAACTGAGACTCACCTCTCTCCTCTGAAACTGCTCTGGTCAAGGGCACCCATGAGCTTTCCACGGCCAATGGGCAACGCCCAGCTCTTAGCTTCTATGACGCCTCCATAGCACTTGACACAGCTGGCCACTCCCTCTGCCTGAAGCTCGGTCTGCCTGGCTCTGGCACTTGCTGCCCCCTCATTCGCCTCACCGGCCTCCCCTTCCCAGTCTCCTTTGCTGGCCCTTCTTCGCCTTCCTCCAAACACTGAAGCGCCCCGGGTTCAAGCCTTTGGTCCTCTTCTCTTTTCTGTCCACACAGCCTTGGTGATGTCATCTTGTCCCACGCCCTGAAATACTAGCTAAATGTACACTGCTGCCCACTGAAGTAAATCTTCTACCTCAGCCTGACTCTGAACTCCGGGCTTGTTATCAACGGTCAAACGTTTTCATCTGATGTCCAATTGGCATCTCAAACTCAACGTGTCTGAAATCCTACTCCTGATCGTCCCCTCCCCAAACCTGGCCTCCCCGCTTCCCCTCCATGAAATGGCAAAGCCATCCTTCCAGTTTCTCATCCTGGATGCTTCTTTCTCTCCTATTATACATCTGATCCGTCAGCACATCCTGTCATCTCCACTTCTAAATCGTCTTTATGAGCCAATGACTTTTCGTCACCTGCTCTGCCACCATCCTGGTCCAACCCACCATCATCACTCATTGCAGTTGCTGCCTGGCTGATCCCTCTGCCTCTTTCCTCACCTTCCTCCGCACTCCACAGTGGCCATGTCATTCCTCTCGTCAAAGTCTCCCAATGGCTTCACATCTCACAGCAAGTGGGGACCGTGCCGTGGCCCCCAGGACCCTGTCCCCTGTCCCCTCACTAACCCCATCTCCTATGACTCTTCCCTTCGCTCACCCTGTTTCCGGCCGCCCTGGACGTGTTGCTTTTCCTCAACGTGCCAGGCAGCTCCCCGTGTCAGGAATGTGTCCTCCAGCTGCCAGAACACTCATTCCTCTGCCTCCTCCAGTTTGCTCACATGTCACCTCTCAGTGAAGCCTCTGCTGACCACACTGTTCACAGTAGCAATTCCCAGTCCCTCCCGCCCCCCAGCACACCCCCATCACCTTCCATGACCACCTTCTCTCTAGAACACTTGTCACTGTCCTAGGTACTATGTATTTTGCTTATTTACTTTTTTAAAATATACTTTTATTGATTTCAGAGAGGAAAGGAGAGGGAGAGATAGAAACATCAGTGATGAGAGAGAATCATTGATCTGCTGCCTCCTGCACGCCCCACACTGGGGATCAAGCCCGCCACCCGGGCATGTGTTCTGACCAGGAATGGAACCGTGACCTCCTGGTTTGTAGGTCGACGCTCAACCGCTGAGCCATGCTGGCTGGGCCACTTACTAATATTCACTTTTTGTCATCTGTCTCCCCATGAAGATAGGGTCTGTTTTGCTCACTGCTGTACTGTCAGCGTTCAGAACCATGCTTTGAGCATGCTCAATGAATGCGTGCTGAATGGACGAGAGGCTGTGATGAGGAAGGGGCCGGTGTCCTCTGAGTCCCAATCCACCAGCACCCCCTCAGCCTAGGGTGGAGCCGGAGCTGTGTGAGGTGACACAGGAAACCTGGGCGTGGAGGTGGTGGGCGTTGGACGAGCAAGAGGAGAGCGCCAGCCAGACCACTCCGCTGGGACTGCAGGTGGGAGAGGGAGGGGGGAGGGGCAGGACACAGAGGTCACTTTAGGAACCGTGGTCGGAGCTCCCAGGTTCTGAGTCGGCCCCCAGAAACGCCCGGAAATCGGGGTTGGCTGTTTGGAAGTGCCCATAGCTCTCCTGGTCCCCTGGGAAGCGGCTGCCTCACAAGCCGCTGTCTCATCAGCTATTTGGAAGCCAGAGAAGGTATCTGAAGCCCATTCACAGATCCACAAGAAGGTGATGTGGTTGCACAGAAGCATTTCAAATCCAATTTCTTTCCAAACACAGCCTGTAATTCCGATAGGAAATTGCATAATGCTTGTAGATAACAATCTTCCCGAGAGGCAGTTTTGTGAAAGCAGCTTGGCATTTCCGAAGCGCGAGGGACAGGGCCCATCAGAGCGCCCACTGCCCTCCACCCGGCTGTCGGTCTGTGGCAGGCGGAGAGCTCTGAGCGCGGCCATCACTCCCTGACCTGAGCGAGAGGCCGTCCTTCTGTGCCCCTCTATTAGCCACAGGCATCGATTTAGCTCAGCCTTCGGTGACCAAACTGCCAATCCCAGG